GTCGTTTACACTCTTTCTCCCCGGCGTGTCGGACCGCAGCTAACAATTATCTCCGTGTGCGTTTCATTCTCAGCAATAGCCTAGCCTCCCCGGCGTATACGACCCATCTGCTGTCCTCAACATCAATCAATTCATTCACGAACGTAGAAGACAAGAAACAACTTCAGAAGTAATCACGACGAAAATTTTAACAAAATTATGCAATAAAAACAAGGCACGAAAACAACGAGTAAACACAACTGATCAAAAATCACAAATTGCGAAGACACACCCCACGTATACACAAACAGTACAAATAACCTCGCGGATCATGTCTTGGTGGAATTATTTTGAAGAATTGGAGGACTTACATCAGTACGCCTGCAACCCTTCACAGGCTGACGATTGTAAGTTGTGGAATGTCCAGACACAAACAAGATTAACCAACAATTACATCAACTGGAACTCACACAACTATTTAACACAAACATGTGTACAATCAACACATCAAATGTTGCGGATTCTGCCTTGACGAACTACCCTTGAAGAACCGTAGGACTTACAGCAGTACGCCTACATTCCTTCTCAGGTTGATGATCCAAGTGGAAGTCGTCCGGACACAAACAGAATTACCAACAGCTAGATGACAGATGATATCAATTCAGTATATACAATATGAACATATGTACAAGATCACACACCAAGCACATTGGACTGCTCATTGATGCGCTACCCTTTGAAGAACTGTAGGACTTACACCAGTACGCCTACAACCCTTCTCAGGTTGACGCCCTAGGTTGGAAAATCGTCGCAGAGTTCATTTGCTGACTCCTTCTATCAGCTATATCCTCAAATCTGAACGGCAACACGCCCATGTCATTGTATCGTAGAATATAGATGACCAACAAACACACGACATATCTCATCAACCAAGTATAGAAACAGAGTAATTTACACCAAAGATAATAACACTCAAATAGTAACTTGAAACTAGAAATGCCTTTATTCGTGCAAGTCAATTTAACAATAACTCTCTCCTTTACACTTGGCTTATCCACACTAAACTGAGCAATATCTTTCGTCTTTTCAAACGCACCAATACTATCATAGTCATTGCAAAAGATACTTGAGTTGATGGGCATCTGTTTCATTGTGGATGAAAACACCAACGATGACTGAGTGACACAAGGTGATGAAGTTAGCGGTGGATCAGAAGCTGTTCTTTTTCGGCTTTCAGATAGTTGTCCAACTGCAAGATTACCACCACTGCTGTCTTTCACTACTAGTTCGGGTTTAGCACTATCATCTGATGATAGGTGGGCTACACGCTGATCAATTACACTGACTGTCTCACAAGTATGCACATCTTCTGGAACTGCATCTGCGTTCAATTCTACTTCACGTTGTAGTTGTACAGAACCTTTATTTAACTTAGCAGTAGTGGGCATATCCCGCATCTCATAATGATCAACCAAAGACAAATCTGCACTATCATGATCATTACCACAAATATTCAATTTACCGTCAAGTTCATCATTTTCAAACTCTTTAATAACAGAAGTAGACAATTTTGGTTCCTCCTCAAAAATCATTAAAGGTTTTATATCTTCACTCTGACTAGTTATACCTTGTAAACTTGTAGGGTCAGAACTGCACTCTGAAGCAGCAACTCTATTCTGTGACACACTATTCAGCAACGGCTTACCAGTTGCAACTACAGACTTCTTCACAACACCGTTATCGTCACACAATTCGGAGTCAGACCTGGAGTTTACATTTAGCTTATCACTGAACTTGCTCACTGATTCACAGTTCACTTCTGTATGCACCTCTTGCACACGTGTAAAACAAAGCCGTGTTTGTCTTGCATCTTGTAACTTATCTGTTGAGGATGTACTACGAAACCTGTTACACTCACTAGGTCTATATGCATTACTATACATCATGGAGTCTTCTCGATATCCACCTCTCTGAGGCTTATTCGTCATCAATGAGTGCGTTTTACCCTCAGACTGCTCTATTCTAGGGGTGAGATCTAACAGACTGGAAAACTTGCTCATAGATTGATTGACACTAGTATTTACCAGTTTCAGGATATCATCAAACTTTGGCTCGATACCCTCATCCTCCATACGGGAGCTCATCTTCACCCACTTCCTTTGCAGTCGAGTAGGTAGACGTCTTGCTATTACTTCTAGTATAAAACTCGAGTTGAGGTCACTCACGCGATTCATCGAAATCATTCCATTCTTGTAAATTAGCAAATTATCTAAAAACTCAGTGAGTGCCTGAGAGTCATCCCGTAATTGACCACCATTATCCTTAACAGCGTCGAATAATTTCCCTGCAATCATCGTAGGTCTTCCAAACCTTTGACGTAATATGCTCGTTGCCTCGTAGTAGCCCTCTTTTGGCTTCATAAACTTACAACACTGTATAGCTCTTGCAGCATCTCCAGTGCAATATCTCATCAAATACATTAACTTCAATTCATCAGTTAATAGAAAACTACTCAGCATGATCTCAAACTCCTTTACAAATTGTAAATAATCGGCCGGGTTTCCATCAAAACACCGTGGTTCTAATTTAGGGAGTTTGATGTTCCTATTATCCCTGAACGGCGAAACAATAACATCAACCATGTCATGCTTAACATCAGACACATCGTTACAATTAACAGACAAGTCACCATGACTTACTTTCCTGTTTGCATTCAAGACACTCTGTCCCTTCTTTGACCCAGGCATTGTTGAACTTGAGCAAATTCCAAAATTGTTCCAGATATTGCTTGTTCAAAGAGGACTTGACCGGCACCAGGAAAGATGAACGGTGACTATCCAAACTTTCACCAACTGTTTGAATCCGCCAGATCTGTTTCCATCGTCAGAAACTGTCAATCACGTCTCATAAACCGTTAATGCCCAGCTCTCGCTACGCTCGAGCCCACGCTGTTCTTCGAAGTTTTCTCAGAAACGCTTAGTAATAACGGACGCAAAAACCAAAACACCGATCTGCCGCGTTAGATTTGTTTATTGTTACACCAACATATAAAAGGAATAAGCGAACTAAGGTTTCTGACGATGTTTCACTCTTCTTTCTGAACAGCGACTGATGAGACGATGACTGTCGTATTGATGCCTCCGCGAAAATCGGGGAAGTTGATTTTGAGCAAACAACCAAGAATTGATCGTTCAATCTTCAACTTTATTGACACTGGAGCAAATGAGATATAATTGACTGCTTCCTTAAAGTTCCCATGGACGCTCATCGTCGGTAATTATGACACACTCAATTTTGTAAACTGTCCTATCCTTGTGGGAACCCTTTAGAAACGACTATCATAGGGCTATTCAATATCTGAACTGCTAAGCAAATAGACTATTCAAAACTTCACCAGACGCTCCACTGCTTTGGTAAAACGCGTCGACGAGACATTTTTCAACTGTGACAAGGATGACTGCATACACTTATTTTGATGCCATTCACATCAGCCAGCAGTGTTTAGTAGTTCAGAGAGCCATATCAATTCAACCACATCCACAGTTATGCCTGGCTTCTTGTGAGAACTGGTGACTCCTTCACTTAACTGAATACAGAAGGCTCAGTAGCTGTTGGTCAAATTTACGGTTCGCAAATTTCAAACTCCAAGGTGAAATTTCGCTGCAGTCCCCTATGGAAACCGAAATTATGCAGTTCACGATATGTTATCTCCTTGATATCAATAGTAGCAGTTGAGAAAGCGAAAGTAAAGTCATTATGGTACCCCGGTGGTTTGAACTGATTTGGCTGTTTCAGCTCACATCGCTGATGAGCTTTGACCCACAAGAGCGACATGGCCGTCCACCATCTAGATCACTTCAGTCTGACTGGTAGGCACTACTGATTGGTGTTGGTGGTATCCTACTCTCATATAAACCAGTAGTGTGCACCGTCACACATCTATACTTCCTTTCTAGATTGCAATTTGTGATATCAAGCAGGTCGCCTAACTTGACCTCAGTAATTTCGGTTTCCAAAGGAAACTCTGGTGAAACTTCAGCTCGAACTGTGTAATTTGTAGAGTGCAAGATTCACTAACTGTCAGTGAGCTTTGTGGATCCACTTTAGTAAAGAAGTCACAGTCAACTATCCTATGCTTTAATTTGTCTCCCGCAGGACACAGTATGAATTCGTGAACAAAGCTAGAATGATAAATGCACCAGGGTGATCTTTCGATAAAACTGCATAATGTAGATTTGGTGATCTACGATATTGACTAACAATATCGGCAAGTCGAGACTTAAACCAACCTTGTCTCTCGCCATCCACTGCTTTCAATGCAGACGGTTGATGATGCACACTTTCGAGTTGGGTTTCAACGTCAATTTTGCTGGTAAATTTCGTCAGAATGTAGAACCTGAATTCTAGTGAAAGCACTTATCTTTCTATCTGCCTCAGCTTATGACTTCAGTTGACAAGTTGAATACGAAGTTTTCGGGATTCCCCGGAATACCTGCACATGATTTTCCCTTACCGGAGTCCCACAGAGTTTTCTCAGATTTTCTCCTTGTTTCGGCGCGAACCTCTCAGGCGTAACTGACAGACCAAATACTTATTATTCACAATATGATCAAAGCCACAAGTTTCTTTCTTCACTTGAGAAATAAGGTGTAGGTCTCCAGTGTACTCGATTACAGATTTCTTTCAACAGAGAGAATTGCATGAAGTTGTTGAAGAAACAGTACAAAAGTGTCTCGAATATAAATCTATAGAAATCCACTTGTAGTGTATGGGTGAGCGCAACTCAGTGTTGATGCTCACCACCACTTATTTCGGCCTTGTCCTGTATGAACCATCTGTAAATGGGGACCGACTCCATGCTAGAGTGAATGAGTAAGAACATTGTTACTTCCCCCTTTGACGATGTCTGATAGGGGACTTCGTTATCGTCATATTTCAAGTCTTCTGGCGTCAATTATGAAGTGTGTCTTCAGCAGATTATTAACAACCAAGGAGAAACATTTTATAATTAAGTAACTTACTTTGCGGTAAGTGCGTTCATACATTGTCGGATAATCAGATAAATGACAACACTTTGTCGGCTGAGATTTAAGCACTTTGATCAGTTCATTGGTGAACCGTCGGACTTGCACACGGTGAGATAGTGTCACCATCTTCATATTTCCCGAACCGATAATCTGAACAACATCAGACAAAGCGCTCAGTAGTTCGCGCAATTTAGCAAAGCCATAATCAGCTACTCGGAATTGTTCGCCAAAGTAGTCATGATAACTAGACATAAATTTGCTCAGTAGTATTTGACATCCTGGTTGATGCTTTATTAGTTCAACCACCTTCCGTCTGAGTAGTTTCAGATGGTCAAGGTCAGTAACTGACTGTACACGCTGAGAACTCTGCGGCAAAGAACTCAATAAGCTGACAGAGTGACCGCAATTCATAACTCCTAAAAAATAAATTATGAGATTCATAGTTATTAGTTCTAGGTGACCGAAATGTTGCTATTTTTAACAAGGACAACTGATGACTGATATGCTAACTAACGGTTAAGCAAGCAAATTGACTGAATTCTTTTCATCTTTCCTGCTTTTCGTATATACAAGTGAGTTACCACTCTGTGAGCATGTGATGTCCCACAGATACTTGAGCGTTGTATATTGTAAGATCTCGATTAATATGCTTCTTAGTCACCAGTAAAGGAGTTCAACACTTCAGTTTCTTCCTACTTGAGACTGGACTCCATACGACAAAATACACACGTCACTGCACTAACAACCGAAAAGATTTGTGGTCTAGTATTAGCTCTAAGCCTGCAAGTTCGTCGGGACCAGCTGGAGAATTTTCTATAAAGCGTAGGGGTCATTTCGAAGATTCACCGAATGGATTAGGTTAATTAAAGAGATCGACTACATTTGAACCTCGTGTGCGTCTCAAAGATTCGAAATAAGTCCACATAGCGACATGTAAGAGTTTTGGTCAAACATGCTTGTTGTTCACGTTTGGTAGGCAGGTGAAAGTGTGTAGACATACGCACACACACACACACCGAGTAATTTGACTTCTTCTTGGATTTCCCAAAATGTAGACGGAATTAGTCTCGCCAAACTACACACCAGAAAGTACGCTTTCCAGTATGTATCAACTTGTTGACAAAAGCAAGGATTACAGATAGTCTTTTGCTAGAACATCTTACCAGCGACTGTGAGCAGACACAGGGTAGACCTGGTGCGGATATTAACCGGTGGACGTGTCGGATAGACGAAATATGTAAACTTGACTACCAAGTCCAGGTAACCCATTCTTAGCTGAGACATAAATCTTGTATTAAAACTTGTATTACTGCCTCTTAAATTCTCAAAATCAGAATTCATTTCCTACTATTTCGATGTGCTAGATAGTTGAATTCCTCTCGAACTGCTGAAGGCTGGTACTGGTAAATAGGGCAGTATATTCAGGTTTGAAGCAATTTCAGTCTGATTTTGGCTTGGAATCTGAAATATACTACACTGCACACACCTCAGAATTTTATGATACTGTCACCTCTATATCCACAAATGTGAGTAGATCAAAAATATTTCAAAATTTACTTTGTTTCTTATGAAAGCACCAGGGCAATCTTGATAGATGCTACAAAATACTATTAACAGAATAAATATGTTTATCCAAAATGATCATTACTTTGAATTCACCGTTTAGTTCAGTTGATTAAGAGGAATGAACTGTACTTTTTCACCTGAAAAATTTCCCCAAAACAAATGCTTGACGGTCAACATAGGTCAAAGGAGAGTAACTTAAGTGAAGACCACGGAGACCCGTCTATCACTAAACGTAACAATATACAGTATGGTGCCTAATGAATCGGGATAGGATTTTTAACACATTATCATAGGCTTAAGCATGCGAAATATCCCGCAAATTCTCCATAAAACTGTTCTACTGAAGTAGAATTTGCGGAAATACCGACTAAATATATGCATTGTCGCACGTCCTTTGGTCAATTAACTTTCAAACCAATATTAAAGCCAATGCTTGGTGTCCGGTGAGTCAGACGGGCTTACGCGTGGACTTCAGGCGAGAAAAGCAGTAAATAATGTAATGTCACTGTTCGGCGTGTCCAGTAAACAATCTTATTTCGAACCTCCTTCTAGTAGAAAATAAGTCCGTTTCAAATAAGGTGCACATGTGAGACCTAAATCTTACATGAAAGCATACCTATGGAGCCTTAGTGCACAAATGCAATCCATATAGTCTGGGAATTCGCTAACGTCCACGACAAGAAATTAGTCTCTGAAATAAAAACTAAGATAACTCGATTGACTGAAGTGATGCTTTGCGCTATCCTAATCACCATGTAAAAAATTAGATGGCCTCAGCCGCCTTCTACAGAAAAATTAGTCCTCAGTAATCACAAGGTATACATAACTGGCATATTAAGAAAAGCACTGGAGTGAACAACTTTACTGTCTAAAGCTGACTATTCAGGTTCACAGCAAACAATATTCAGACAAAAAGGGGAATAGCAACATAATACTGTAAAGTTTAGGCATGTCATACAGATAGAGATAATTAAGAAGGGAATATATAACTTGAACTGATCAGTAGTTACCCAGTTGACTCACGAGAGTCAGTCAATAAAGAACTGGGGAGTAAAAGTCGAGATGAAGCTAAACGTAATCAGAGGATAAACTTAAGAGAAAAACTGGAGACAACAACTGTTACTACTACAGCTATCATTATAGACTAATGAAGTTCAGTAGCCAGGATGATACTTCCCGATTTCAGATTCGAGGCTGGTGAATATCTAGTAGATGAAACTTCTTGTAGCGTCGTAAACGTGCTAAGTGACATGCAAATCACTTTACCAAGTTGGTTTCTTAGTATTTCATGTGATGACTATTTGATAAGGTAATGCTGCGGGCGCTCTGTTGTCCCATGAGATACGTTCCGATAAGGCAAAAGAACGCAATTCAAAGGCAGAACTTAGGACGACTGCCTTAAAGCTTGTGATGACCACTAAAACATCCATTGTTGATTGTGGAAAGATTATGCGATTGTTCAAACGGCATATTCCAAGATTACCAACAAATATAAGACACATTCTCAAAACTAGCCTGTCATGCCCCTCAACTGTTATTGGTAGTGAAGTTTACTATCATATTGGTTTGCGAAGTATACTTACGCCTATACTGAGTTGTTGGTGTCAGTTTGCATCTTTTGATTGCGTTAATCTGCAGCTGAATGTTGATGGATTGTCACTGTTCAACAATGGTACACAGCAAATTTGGCCGATATTGGGTCGACTGGTGAAACCGTTTCTTAGTGATATATTTCTTATTGGAGTTTATGGTGGTTTTCATAAACCGTCTGACTTCAATAACTTTTTATTGCCAGTTGTAACTGACATGGAGCACTTATATGCACATGGTTTACAAATCAATGAGAGGCATATCGGCTTCCGGCTTAACAGTGTTATCTGCGATAAGCCTGCAAGATCTGACGTCACTTTTACAGCGAGTCACAACAGTAGGAAAGGTTGTGACAGATGTTGCGTTACTGGCAACTATGTAAACCGGCGCATGGTATTTAAGGATGTTAACAGCTGTCGCAGGACAGATAATAGCTTTAGGAGTAAGGAAGATGCCGATTACCACCGTGATACATCAGTATTTCAGAGACTTCCAATTGATATGGTTAAGATTTTTCCATTAGATTATATGCATTTAGTCTGCTTAGGTGTTGTTAGGCGGCAATTGGGTATATGGTTGCGTTCGGCGAAACAACGCCAATTCGGATTAAGCAATGAAACAATTGCTTGTATTAACGAAAGACTACAGGCTGCAGAAAGCTGAATTCCTAAGGACTTCCAAAGGAAGTGTCGCAGCTTGGAGTTTCTTCAGTTTTGGAAGGCCACTAAATGCCTGCTATTTCTTATGTATTTGGGCCCAGTTGTATTACATGATCCATTACCCTCTCCACTATACGCAAACTTCCTCAGATTGTTCACGAGTGTCTACATTTTATGTCATCCTCGTTACCACCTTCAATTGTGCGACACCGTAAAACAACAGCTCAGGCAGTATGTACTATGTTTCGACAGCCTCTACCCTGATGAGTTGGTTTACAATGTGCATGCTCGTCAGCATTTAGCTGAGGACGTCTCTGAACACGGTTGTCTGGATACCTTTTCAGCCTTCCCGTATGAGTCACATTTGTGCCAAATCAAGGGAAGGGTGAGGAGTGGCTTGAGGGTAGCAAAACAAGTAGCCTCTCGAGAAGTCGAAAGATGCGTGTTTGCAAGCTCTACAAATGCAGGTAAGTCACCTGCTGAGCTAACCCCGCCATGCGTTACAGTTGATTTAGCAAAGCAGTCATTTTGTGTTGGCAAGACTTACTATTCAACTGTTTCGCCTGACCGATTCGTAGTAGTAAATGGAGGACCTGGGATTATCTGTGGTGTGGGTGAGGGCAATGTATTCAAATTCAGACCTTGTTTGGATAAGCAACCATTTTTTAACAAGCCTTTCGAATCAACGAAGCTTGATATATACAAATCAGGCCAGTTCTCAGGCAACACTGAATGGGTTGCAATTAACGCAATTAAATATAAATGCATTGCAATACCCACAAATCACTTCAACGTTTTCATCCCAATGCCTCACACATCGGCTAGATAAGCTGTTGTCATTGTTAATTTGTGTTGTTCCATTGGCGTCCGTTGCAGTTAATGTGGTTCATAGGTAAGAGCCGACATGATCGACAAAGTGGGTTGGGTTTGCTAGCGTATCAGTTTGAGTTTAGACTCTCTATGCATTCCAGTAGGAGCCTTTTAAGGTATTTCATTCTTCATTCACTAATGTACCGTTCCTTTCAGAATAAATGGGCAAATACCGTATTGCACTGGTTGATGGGAAAAATGAGGCAGTGATATGCCGAAGCTCTTGGTTTCTTGGACCTAAGCTTGTTGTCTGCAGCCAAGACAATTGGGATAATGCCTATGAGGAGGAGTACCCCAAGATTGATTGGAAGATGGAGAATTGTGAGGTGATTTTTGAGACAGGTTAGTCGTATCGACACTTAACTATTTATCCAGATGACTTGCAAGAGGCGCTCGCAAAGCACAAGGCCCTTCAAAGAACATATAGCACTGCCAATTGCAGTCAGTCGTCCAAGTCGACTGTAGTTTGCACGCAAAAGCGTCAAAAAACGCAAGCATCGTTTCATACTTGATTGAATAAATAGAGCACCGAAAAATGACGTTTTCGTAAGTAACGACTACCCATCTGACCTGATGGACAAGCAGTGCAATGTCTTCGAGGACCCCGATTACGCAGACCTCGATAGCAGTGCATGTGATTCAAAAAAGAATATAAGGTATGACAGATATTCAACCTTACATTACAATGAAGTAGTTTTGGATTACTGCCGAAGAGTTCTTCACACATGTTGGCTGCTACAAGTACACCTATTACGTAAGTAATATCGAATTTAATAGCCATTTGTTCTCAGGTCGCCCAAGGATAGTAATGTTAAGCGGCCTAGGACGGATTCTGATAATATAGTAGCAGGTGCGGTTCATTCTTGTTTTATGTTTATCCCATAATTATTTAACAGTTTGTCTTCAAAAACTATGTGAAACGCAGGCGCAATTAATCAAACGTGTTGACTTCGCGTTGGCAACTTTCAGTGGTTGCACAGCTGGCGATAGCGAAAGCGATGTCAGGCTCCCGGTGAAAACATTTGCTATGCTGGAAGTTTTTGAGCGAAAACTTAAAAACAGAAAGTATTTCGAGGAAATAGTAAGAAATTCCATCCAAGTTTGTTTAATTGATTCGTTTCAGATGTGCCAATTCTCATTCAAGGTGCATAATAACCCAACCAGCTCAGCGCGCCGGTCGCTGAGCACAGTCCTAAATAAAAACCTAGCAAGATTGATGAGTTATAAGGGGACTGCTGATAAGACTGGTATCCGTGACTTCACGTTTTTCCAGCTTATAATTGGTATGTTGGCTTTTTGAAATAATAAAATTGCATACTCAAAAAATTCAGATGTCATCACTCGTAAGCAATTACAACTCGGGTCCACCGAGGAGGAAACAATGGAAGCGATTGTAAAAGCCACTAAAACTTGGTGCCATGACCAGCGTGTTCGGAAGAAAAGGGATTTATCACCAGAAGAGGTAGTTTTTAATAAAAGTGTTACCAGTTTTTCTGCACTCAATGGGAATTGACGCGTATTTAAATGATTCTCTCTTTCCTTCATTACAGATGTCTGCTGAAGTCATTCAACCTGGGACCAGCAAATCGCCGTCTTCAGAATAATTTATGAAGTCATTTTTTATAAATTTTTTCAAAATATTACTGTTTTATAAATCCGATATTTTACTGTATAAAATATAAAATTACTCCACTCCATTGGCCTTCGTTTATATCAGTAGCATAACCCTTAAATGTAGTGAAAGAATCGTAAGGCAGTGGTCGCTAAGTTCGTAGCTTTGGTAAGTTCGATTGCATTAGTTACTATAAAGGATGACAGTGTTTAAGCACTTTCTTAGGCCATTAGTAGGACGCTAAGTAATTCTAATAATACGTGCGCTTGCCTAGGAAAAGTGAGGGCTTCTTTTCGTCACGAAAATAGCAGTAGTGGATGAACAGGTCGTTTAAAAAGTGGGCAATTTGTTCGTTGAAAAGGTGGGAAAACGGGGATAAAGTGAGAAATGTGGCCAAAGTGGGTAAAATCGGTTGCATTTACACCATCTTTCGCCGATCAAAATTACCCTTTTATCCCGCGTTTTGCCCACTTTTCCCATGTGAATTAACCGACTGGGGACGATTTATTTCCATCCCATTGAGTTTTATCCAAGGCATGCGAATCAGCTATAGCTGACTATCCCAGTGCGTTTACTAGAGTGGTTGACATATTATTGCTTCACTACACCTTTTTACCAACTTTAGCATGTTTTACTAACTTCATCATAGTTTACCAATAAAAATCAACTCACAGTGTTAGATCCGCGACAGTTAGCAGTGTGTTGAATTAACGCCTTATCCAATCATTTACCGACACTATCCAATATCGTTTTTACGAGCTAGAGTAAACCAATTCGATTTCTTGGTCCTCACCTCTTGATTGTGAGGCATAGGTTCCTGATCTTCGGTAAACTTCTGCGTATCTCGTCCAGCCACTCAACTGTCTCAGCTTTGGCTGACTCCAAACGAAGTAGTGCTGGGATTAATTATATGCGGATTGTAGTATGAGGTGTGTTAGGACTCTTACTACTGTGACTGGAGTTGATCCTTCCACCAGTTAGTCCTCTGGTATCGTCGTCGAAAAAAAGAGATAATAATAATAGATATAATTAGTGAAGTTATTCAGACTAACAGACAGAAAAAGAAAAAAGAAAACGTACCAACAGTCAGCTGATTAAATTTGACGTCATAATAATAATAGTAAGTGTTGTTAGACTTGTTAGGAGAGAATGGGAGAGAATGGAGAGATGTAAAACGAAAAAATTTTTGTCTACCCTCTGAATAGTGTAAGAGATTTTAAGGGGATAGGTCATTTGGATCCAGTCCTTTTGTAACTTCATGATTGCCCAACCTTCACTTAAATGTGTCCACAGATGGTGCCATAGCTACACTTTCTGGTTAGGAATTCCATGGACGCCAAACCCGCAGTGAAAAGAAGTGAGAGCGCACCTGGATCCTTGCCCTCTGGTGAGCTATCCCTCTGGGATTTCCACGAAAATGCCTATACCTACTCAATGGCAGAACACCCCCAAAGCCATCTGTAGCTAAGTGTGGATAGGCTTAATTTCTTCAGCCATTCATCATATGGTTTATTTCGTAGATTTACCACTACTTTTGTCGACTGTCCCTGAATTCTTTCCAAGAGGCTAACATCTCTTCTAAGCAGTGAGGGTGCAATGATATTATGCACTTCAAGGTGTGGTCTGACATATGTTTCGTACAACCTTAGAAAGAGCTCAAGGGTCTGTGTGTAATGTGTATGACAGCATGTGCCCTCGCTACATCCCTCATAGAATTTACACTTGTGCCCAATTTTCCGTTAGAACTAGACCTAGGCTGTGCTCCATTGTTCTGCAGGAGAAGCTTCCATTGCACAGGGTGTAACTTGCATTCTGCAATCTACAGGTGCGTAATTTCACTTTTTCAGGTTGAAAGTTATATCATTGGTCACCGCCCAGCCTTTCATAAGCTTCAGATCTTCCTGCAGCCTAGCTGAGTCCTCCGGACACTTTATCGCCCTCCATATCTTTACGTCGTCAGCGTATAGAAGAATCGCGTAGCTTAGACGGCATGGCAGATCATTGATAAAAATCAAAAACATCAGTGGTCCTAGGATAGGACCCTGCGACACTCCTGATGACGAGCTGTGCCAAGATGATCGGACTCGGTTAACCTCAGCGCGAAATCGCCTGTCAGCTAGGTAGTCCATTAACCATGACAGAAATGGCTCACCTATACCTGCCTGGCTTATTTTATGTAGGAGTAGGTCATGGTGAACGGTGTCAAATGCCTTCTCAAAGTCTAGGAAGACCACATGGACTGGAATATTCATATCCCAGCATGATGTCAAGTCGTCCCAATCTGATGGCAGGTTTGTGACAAAGGATCTGCATTTCCCGAAACCGTGTTGGGCATCATGCAGTCTATCAGTCCCATCGAGATGTTCCCTTACCTGATCATCAATGACGCTTTCCAGTACTTTTGGTATTACTAGCAGTAGAGATACCAGTCTAGCAACAGTGATATTTTGCCTATCCCCACCCTTCAAGACCGGAGAAAGGATGACTCTATTCTATTACCTTCGCAACGTCCCCGAATCCATTGAGTGTTGGAACAAGTCACACAGGGGTCTACAGAGAGCTTCGGCGCACTGTTTCAGAACAGATGGCCTGATGTCGTCACAACCTGTGAACTATCCGGGTGTAGTCTCTGTAGCTTCCCGAGTACTATTGCCCTGTTGATATGGGAAGTAGCCACTAGGTCTTCCTCCAGCGAAATACTAGTTCCACTATTTTGACCCGTAACGGTAATATCCACATTGCTGTTTAGCTGTTTGGCGAAGGCTGAACTGAATGTTTCAGCCATCTCCAGACTAGTGAGGTATTGACCGTTTGGGCGTACCAGGGCGAATGACCCTCGTTTGTCAGTTTTCTTTCCGACATGAATCGGTACAAGATTTTGGGGTTTCCAAGGAGATTTTTTAACAGGGTTAGCCTGGAATGACCTCCTGTCCTTCCTAACTCTTGCATTGCGCCGGTTCCTGAGTTCGAGGTATGCGTCGTGGTCGGTCCGACTCTTAGATACACGCCACGTAAACCAAGCCTTCCGCTTTGCTTGCAGAATACGTTGCGTGCCTCTCTTCAACCATGATGACTTGCTTTCTGGCTGTGTTGTGTCTAAAGAGAGGGCATCTGAGATTGCCATATGAATAATCCTTTTTACCAGTTGCCAGTGTTCATCCACAGAAAGCTCATCCCATGGTGAGTGTCAATCCTCGTCGGACGAAAGCCTCCGGATTTCAGAATAGTCCGCCTTGCTATAACACAGACATGGTCGCGTAACGTCCCACTGCAAGTGCTCACGTAGGGCAAGATCGAAACCTATGACCGCATGGTCACTACCTCCTAGAGGAGTCGTGATCTGGACCTTTTCGACGAGAAGTCGGTCACTAGTTAGAATATAGTCTAGTTTTGATGACTTTCCATTAGGGCCCCACCTAGTGTAGTCTCCAACATTCTCAGTCAGTCCCGTGTTTCGAATAAATTGCAGTAGATTCCGGCCAAATTTTCCCTTAACCTACCAGAGCCAAGGTTCAGTGATGGGCCACTGAAATCTCCAACTATGTCGATTTGGTCACAGCCAAAATCCAGTATCTCTGTGATAGTGCTGAATAGAAGCTGTCTGTGCTCTGCCCCACAGGTGGATGATCGGTAGATGCCACGCAGTGAATGCTTGGTGTGTCCTACGGTGAGCTGACACCATATGGAGTCTGGGGTTTCAATAAGTGGTGTGTCCAATGCGCGTACACATTTAAGTCGCCTGTCAAAGTATACAGCGACTCCCCCTCCTTCCTTATTATCCCTGTCTCTCCTGACCAGAACCATATCACCTATACTGATTTCGTTGTCGGCGATAAGGAGGGCTTAGCCAGGTCCCAGTAAGGATGATTATTCTAATAATCAAATACCAATCGCGGTGGCGGGTTCCGATTCCGCTAGGATAGTGATATTGACATATAACTATGACTGGCCTCATGTATACTGGTGGTATTATGGCCTGTCGTTCGCCGAAATCATTCACAGCCCTTGAAATATAAATAAAAGTCGTTGAGTAGGGTCCTATCAAATGATCACGACACTGCTAGTCACTGGCAGGCTGTGGTGATTGACAATTTCTATCTCTGTATTGTTTAAAATACTTACTGTTGACTGTTGATATGTTTCTTATATGAATTGCATTCTAATTCCGCTAAATACAAATTCCTGATTGCTGCCCTCTCTGGGTTTTGTTTGGATTCTTATAATTCCGTCATCTCGAAAATCTAATATTTCAAGTACAATAAATTACTACACAGGCCCTAGCTGCTTGAGAAGGTGAAATATACGTCTTTCCCGGCTTTGGAGCGTCATGTTAGACTTGATGGATGTTGTGAAAACCCGGCCTCTACCGTGGTGATAGTACGCTTCCTTGAATTTATTGATTATACTATCCCGAAAGGTGAGCTTTAGACTCTCTGGTATCCTGAAAGTGGTTCTAGGCTCTACGGTCAAAATATATGTTAAGGCGTAGGTGTAACTGGAGGTTTCTGAGTTCACCATTTTCATCTCTCAGCCTCCTCACGTTGCTATACACGCAGCTGAAGGTGAGTCTCCCAAACTCGATGTTTTGTGGGGTAGCTGACGTTACGTTGTCGACTGATAGGAGACTTAATATTGGGACTAGATGTCCAATTTCAGTGGAACCGGCCCACTGTCGTTTTCTCCTTGTATTCGGGTAAGACATTTGGGTGACACGAACTGTTATTATAAATAAATAAGTATATAAATTTATTCTCATGATGCAGTACATGAGGGACGCCAGTTTACAGGCACCATCAAATTGTTACAGAAATGGGACTATATTATTCAGTCACAATTTACAGTTGATAGCAAAATATGTTTAACAAGTACACTGGAGATTATACATACACTTGATAAATGTTAATCCCAATTGCATAAAACATCCTTTTCACTTATGTACAATCGTTTCTGTGCATAGTTGGAAAAATCCGTTAGATTGTCAGTGAGTGCAACACATCAGGAAATACAGAAGTATTGTCTTCGCATTAACAAAAACAACCAGGTCTTTGGTGAATGGGTTATAAGTGCCTGGGAAAAAAAATAAAGCTTGAAGTCAGTTTTCATACATAATTTTACTGTGTACAGAATTCTTGAATTATAGTTCATTGTTGTGTTATATGGAAATCAGTGATTTGCTTATCTCATTTGATCTGCAATGTCATTGTTGGGAGCAAAATACATAGGCTTTGGACGCATTAATTAATGGATTTCTACTGCTTGTGGGTATTTACTCATGAGGAGGGTTTTTGAATTTTAGCTGTTCCGACAGGAGTTGTGGATATTAACTGCTCAGCAACATTACGGATATAAGTTCATCACATTATCTTAGGACAGTTGAGTTGTGGTTGGTGAGGTATATAAGATGCCCGACGAGCGCACATCTGTCCATGTGATGTTGTGGTGAGTTATATCTTTTCCATGTTGTCGGTTTATGTCCGTTTTATTCCACTTGTTGTGTTGGGTAGAAGTTTTACAAACGAAACTTCTTGTCTGTTTGAGGGTAAGTATCTTAATCGTT